ACTGCTTTTGCAAAAGCCCAAAGTTACGGCAGGGCTTCTGGGCCTAGCCTCCTTCACGCACACTCTGCTTGTGCAGCAAGACTCGCTGACAGAGCCTGGGCCCCTTAAGAGTGCGTTTGTAACAACTTTTATCAGCAAGTGTTTCAGGGAGTTTGGAAGGGACGGCTGCTGCAGAGTCTCCCAAATGGCACCGAGGCAAGGCCAGTTCAGGGAAACATCCATCTCCACTTCAGGGGATTCAAGCCATTCAAGTAAGTTTTCTAGCCCTCTGCTATATAGCTGCGGGCCTAACAGGGAACAGCACTTGGCAGCAGGGGGTTTAGTGTCAGTGTTTGATTCAGAAAAGGGAAACATTTTATTTTTAAATGCCTTTGAATACCATTTCTTTGTAAAATGTTTTAAATACCTCATAATGAGAAGGTGCAGATTATGCTACCTTGTATTAAAGCTTAAAAGAAAAATGCTGTGTGGACACCTGCATGGGCTGTGGCTCATCTGTATATTCCTGCCTGCTGGAGTACCACCCTTTTGCTTGTTGCCAACTGACTTCAAAGCGAGGAGAGGGGAAGATGCTGCTTCAGCTTGCCAGGCACAGAGGTAAATCCCTACAAGCAGTACCTCCATTCACCAGCACTGACGAGGGGCAGTGAGCTCATGCCCCTGCTGCCAGCAGCAAGCTGAGGACTGGGACACTATTCCTGAAAAGCAGCTGTTGGGTGTGCAAGCCAGCGAGCTGCACTGACTAGGCAGGCAGCCCAGGGGAAGATGTGCTCAGTTACGGCCCCTTCCTGCACTGATGCAGGTCAGTTCTGCTTCGGTGCCTCTCAGCAGCAGCTCTGGTCCTCAGGGGCTGGATGGACACAGAGCACAGCAGGTTACAGGATGCACTGACATAGCTAGTTTTTTCCTGCCATCCACAAATGCACCTTCAACTACGTATTTTGGGGAATGTGGTTACCAAAAAATGAGTTGTATTCTTATCCTTGCTTCAGAACATGTAAGCAGCTGGGCCAATGGAGAGCGGCTTCAGTCCACTCTTATACTGAACAGCTTCTTCCCTTTCTACCGCTCCAGGTAAATAGTGCTGTAGCGCTTTTGCACTGCATCAGTGCTGCGAAGCTTCTGTGCAGTCCTGCAAAAGTGGCAGCCCTTTGGCTGAAAAAAGTGAGTTCTTGGATCACATCTGATCTCTGCAGCTCTGATGTTAACTGCTTTGTGACAACTAGAAACCCCAAGGAAGTTACAGCTTCCTGCTTTATGTAGCACAAAGAAAGCACAAGTTCCCATAGCATACGTTTATTGCTTTTAATTTAGTTAGAACATGGAGCTGTGCACATCACAGTTCATACACCCCACCCACACATCACCCAGGTCTCTCCCCTTCAGGGGTCCCCTCACAAACCAGCCTGGAAGGGGGAAAGACAGGGCTAGTCCTATAATAACACTGAATCCACTGGATCCAGTTTAGAGAGGCTCCCCCACTGACTCACAGCACAAGGAGTCCCCAGTGTTTCTAAAATACCACTACACAAACTAAAAACACCCCTCCCCACACACACACACACACCTTTTGTCAGGTTATAGCTGATCCCATGTCATTTTACACAGTACTTCAAATTCATGGGTAAGGGGAAGAAATCAAAAGTAACAGCAAAGATGTAACACCCATTCCCCACCTTAGAGGGGGGTGGGGGGGGGGGGGCAGGAAAGAAGCAAACAAAATCCAGTTAAACCGTGAGGTTTGAGGAACTTAAGAGCAGGACTTGAGCCAGCTTTTTGTTTGGTTTTGCCAACCCCGTGTGCTACTGCAGGAGTAGCTTATTTCTCCTCCTCCCCCAAGGGCAGGTGGTGGTGAGTGCTGGAAGATTACACCCCTGCTGACTTCCAGCCCTTTCTTCTCCCCAAAAGCAAGGCATGACCCTGAAGAAAGTTTCTGCTTGGAGAATCAGCTCAGGTGCTGCATCAGTAGCTGTAAGGGACCTTCAAAGGGAGTTACTCACACAGCCTGCAGGGAAGGATGAGGTAATGACAACTGAATTATTAGTTCTCCAGCTGCCACTCCCAGGAGAATGGGACAATCTCCAGCACTTTCCTGTTCACCACCAAGTCCGTCCTTGAAGTAACCTTGGGCATGTGCCCATTTACCATCATGCATACACAAAGTCTGAGCTTTTTCAGACTTTAAGTGGGATTCTTCAGCTTTCTGAAGAGCACCTTCTGCCACCCTTTTGGTCACCTCACCTCCATAGGCCAAGGGCTCCAGCAGCCTTAGCTCTCCAGGGACATCCACAGCTAGTGCAGTTCCACACATTCAGGTTCAAATCCTCTCTCCTGGATGAAGGTCCTTGGGCAGGCAGACTCATTGTGCAGGCTCAGGGTCTGAAGATGCTCAAGTGGTTCATTTGTTGCCTGCCTTGTTCTCCATCAGGAGGGGCAAGGAGAGCTCAACTTTAGTGTTTCTGGACAGGCTTTTGGAGGTATTTAGAGATAGAGAAGGATTCCCCCCCACCCCCCCAACAAGAAAATTCATACACACTTCCCCACAGACAAGATGTTTCAGGAGAGCTACCCAGTTCCTGGGACCTTTCGCTCCCTCCCTGACACACACGCTAGAGGCCATAATCTCAATAGGCAGTTCTGGAAAACAAACACACAAACACACACACACACACACACACACACACACACACACACACAGTCACACTGTCCTGGTGGGGCCTTTTGCCGGGTGCCTGATTTCCCAGCTTTCTGAGCAGTGTAGTCAATCTGGGAGAAGCAGTTCCAGAAGTGTTGGTCTTTACCAGGAGTCTCCTAAAGCAATTCCCTCCCTGGCAGACAGGCCAGGATGGCTTCACAGCTTGCAGCCAAGTTCTAAGGCACCACAGTAAAGAAGCCTGAAAGGGCCAGAGAATCACATTTCTCAAGCCAGAAAAATAGTGTTGAGCAGCTTTCCTAGGTGCAGTTGGCAGGAAACAGCCCTTTTCTCTTCTGAAACAGGCCACAAATCCACAGTGAATCAGGAGGTCCAAGAGGAGGGGCAAGTGTGTTGGATGGGGGGGAGAGGCAATGCAGCAAACGCACAGCATGGTGCCCCATTAATGCCCTGGAAGTGGCTGAAGTGCACCTCCCTCCCTGTCACTCATCTCAGCTCCCGTGGAAGTGGTGCAAGCAGCAGGACGGACTAACTAGGTTGTGTTTTCAGGTAACTTGTCACGGCTCAGTCCATACTGCACGCTCACGTTGTGGTCCAGCTCCTCCAGCTCAGATGGGAGGGGAATGGCCAGTTCTCCCAGGAAGAGAGAGAGAGCTTCAAAGCAATCTTCCAGCTTGGAAAAAGTGGGCCTAGAAGGAGCAATAAGGAGATGTGAGTGGGGAAGAGGAGGCAGAACAGCATCTGGAACAGCTAGGCCAGGTGTGCATCCAGGCCACTGTCCCCTGTGGAGAGGTGTGAGCTGGGACGTGATCCTTCCCCATTTAGCTTCAAAGACTGCAGAGATGACATCTAGCTGGGGTTATCAGTTTTTACAGGTGATGACCAGGGAGATCTGGCTCTTTTTGAACCCACTTGGCATCAATACTGTTTTGAAGCTTACAAGTTTCACAACTGAAATCACATGTGAAGTATTTGCATTTCAGACCTGCTGCCAAGGACTGCCCCTACTTTTCACACATGAAAAACTCCAAACAATCACTTCCTCTTTACCATCTCCATCTCAGACGCAAGTTCAGAGGTTTGTCATAGACAGCAGTCTCTCCCAAGCTGATGAGTCCTTAGCGTCTCTTCACATGGAAGCTTCTGAGCGTTCCCACCGAAGGTAGGGATACAACCCTCTTCCACCCTCTGTGCTGAGCCATCCTTCCACCAAGGATGTAAGGACACAACCTCCAGGTATACAAAGAGTCCTCCTGCCCAAAACCTACCTGCTCTCCGGTTCCAGTCTGCAGCAAATGGCAGCCAGAGGGAAGAAGGCTGGAGGACAGGCAGCAGGAACAAACTTCTCCCAGAACAGCTTGACATTAAGGCCAAAATCCAGTGTGCGTGGGAGGCAGTCTGGATCAGCATACACCTGGCCTATGATCTAGTGGGAGAGGAGAGGAATGCTTAAGTACAGCCACAGTCCTGGAGATAACAAGCAGGAGACCCCAGCATCAGGTAGGGGCTTCTTCA